CATACACACCTTGCCTCTCTTACTGTTTCTTTTCTTTCACAAATGGAAGAGAGCCCAGAGGAAGATGACTAAGATGATAAGGCAATTGGCAACTGTGCCATAGGAGAATTGTTTGAAGGAAATGGAACTGGTTAGCCAGGAGAAGGAAGGATTGTGTGTAGAAACGAAGGGACGTGAGAGCTGTCTTCAAGCATTTGAAGGATTGCTATGAGGAAAGGGGATTTGATTTGTTCTGCCTGGCCTCAAAGGGCCTAACTAGGAGCAATGAAAGGCATTGAAGATGGTTTCTCAGAGGGGCAGCTTTTAGGTCAATGTCAGAAAATGCTTCCCAAGAATTAACATTGCTCAAAAGTGGAGTGGGTTGGCTTGTTGAGGAGATAGTAAGTGGTAGGTCTACTACCTCTGTGGAGGTTTTCAAGTGAAAACTTGATGAGTATTTGTCTGTGATGTTACAGAGGGGGTTCTTATATAGATACAGATCAAATTAGGCCTAGAGTTTCTTCTAGATCTGACATTCGATGAATGTTCCACTGAAATCTGGGGAGAAAGGTGTGTGAGTAGGGGAATCCTCGACCCATCTAGAAAGGATAACTGGAATATGTGACTTCATTCCTCCATAGGTTGTCTCTGGCCATTTATCTCCTACTTCTTTCACATCATTTCTGCTTCTGAAAACAAGACTAGATTCTCTTATTTTTCATTGTCAAATCCAGCAAGTTTTTAGTTATCTAAGCAGGGAGAAATACCAATCAGTCAACAAGCATTTATTAAGAACATACTATGTGCAGGAACTGTGCTAAGTTCTGAGCCTACAGAGAAAAAAAAAAAAAAAAAAAAGTGGCTCAGATAATCCCAAAATAATTTCTGTTAGGCTTTGGGGCAATTGTATTATTGTTATTTTTGTATCAGATTTCCCTTTCTAACCATGTTTCTCTCAAGCTGTTTCCTGAGCCCATATTAACTGATTAGAGGGGTAGAGGAAAGAAGGCATTGGGGTTAGTCATTCATTTGCTTATGGGTAATCTAGCAAGTGGGTCTTCACGAGTTGACTTTGCCCTGATTGATAAGACTTTTTTGAGGCATTCCCAGTGAAGTTCATTTCTCTTTTTTTTTTCCCCCTGCCCCTCCTCTTGGCACACAGGGGTTGGCACAGCTTTGTGTGACAATCGAGGAGTGCTGGGACCACGATGCTGAGGCCAGACTCTCTGCGGGCTGCGTAGAGGAACGTGTGTCCTTGATCCGCAAATCTGTCAATGGCACTACCTCGGACTGCCTCGTCTCCCTCGTGACATCTGTCACCAATGTGGACTTACCCCCCAAAGAGTCGAGTATCTAAGTCCTGGGTCCTATTTGTCTTTCCAGACTCAGTGAATTTGAAGAAGAAAAAAGTTAAAAACAACAAAAAAAAAAACAACAAAAAAGAACCATAAAACCAACGAACACATGAATGCAGCTGCTATTTTATCTTGACCTTTTTATTATTATTATTATAATTATTATTATTATTATTGTTATTTTTTGATTGGATCAATTTTTACCAGCATATTGTTCTACTGTATTGAAAACAATGGACATCTCAGCAAGCATTCAGGTCCCGACTCATGAATGCAAAAATGATGTCCATGCCGCAGAACCTCAACAACCTCGTTTTCCGTTTGTGATTCAGTTTTTTAGGTTTTTCTTTGTTGGTCTGTTTTCTCCGCAGAACATCTGTGACACAAAGAAACCCATCTCCCATCTTAGGAAACATAATGCTGCAAACTTTGGAGGAAACTTTAAAAGACTGTTACAAAAGACACCTTTCTCAGAAAAAGGTGTTCTTTCCCCAGTCCACCCTTCCACAACCCCCCATCCCCTTAAAAAAATTTTTTTTCCCTTTTTAGACAGCTTCAAAACAGCAGATGTGTCTTTTACGGATCTAACGGGTGTCATTGTAATGGAGGAAGAACCAGGAAGAGGATGTTAACTCCTGGGATGTGGGGGTTGAAAGGAGGAGGTTGGTGCTGGGGGTGGGCTAAGGAAGGGGGCGACGTTGGACTTGGCAGCATTTGGACAAACATCATTTGTTATGGAGCTACTTCTCAGGTAATCAGTGAATGAGGGGAAGGACATTTTGGACACAGAGCATTCATAGCAAACACAGAATTTAGAGAAAGCATGTCAGGAAGCCCCAGCTGTTCTTGGAGTACACAGGCAACGTTACTTCTTACTTCTTCCATTGTCTTAGACTTGGATATAAGATGGGATGGGAAGTAAAAGGAAAACAGATTTCTCTCCTCCCTCTACCCCAACCAACTTCCAGATAAAATTTACTCTCATTTGAGAAATTTAATTTTTTCCTCCTCTAAAATAGATAATCATGAATAGTTATTAACCAAATATCATTTTTTAAAAAAGAAAAACCCTTTTTTTAGTTCACTGTTTTTCCTTAAGATGGATAAATTGAAGGGACCTTGCCTCCTCCTGGAGCAGTTCAAGGAATAACCCTACGGGGTTGAACAATGGCACAGCCTGAACAATTACTTAAGACCATTGAAAGAAATACAATAAAATTGCTAGCTCTTTAAGGAGAGATTTTTATCTAGAGGGAGGGAGAATGACCTGGGCCTTTGGCCAAGGACCGCAGCACTACTTCAGCACCCAAGAAACATAGGATGACAACAGCTTGGTGCGGGGGTGACTTAAAAGTAGCCACCGTGATGATTTTTAACATCTTTTTTTCAAGTGGCTTGTTGATATGGCTTTCTCTAAACTCTGTGATGAAACTTTGTCTTAAAGTGGTGCATATCTTAAATACCGTTATTCTATTATGCCATAAATTTGCTCTAGTCAGTGAATGTTCCTAATGCTGCTGATTCAACATTTAAATATTTTTTTAATTTGCAAAACATGCAATGTTTTAAAACACACATGCATACACACACACACACACACACACACACACACACACACACATACACATGCTACGTGGCTTCCGAGGTTTAAACTGAAAAGAAAAAAAATTAAAACTTCACGACCACAGACCACCTCAAACCAGAAATACCTCAGAATTTTCTACTTGTATGAGTTTTATTATATATTTTGTTGTGTTGTCTTGTAGTAAGTATATTTTAATGTATGTTGGCTTTTATGACAAGGGAGTTTTAAAAAAAGAAAAAAAAATAGAAAAAAAGTTCCAAAATCTTTTAGGAAGTGCTACCTTTTTTTTGTTTGTTTGGTAATGACCCATTGTAAATAACTGTGTCCGGTTGTAGAACGATTGCCTGCTTAAGGGATTCCTGGGCATTAGTCACTCTTATTTGCGAAGGCTGTTTCCATTCTTTGTTTCTTTGGTCCGTTTTATTAAAAGACAGTACATCTTTTTATCTTAAAGGATGGAGAGTTTGGGTGTGCGGAATGGGGAAGTGATTTTATTGCATTAGAACTGACCTTCAATGAAAAGTAGCTTCCTTTAAAAAAAAAAATCATTCTTTGGCATTTTCTTCATGCCTTGATTATCAGAATGAAAACTAACCCCATTTTCCCCCATACTAAAAAAATGTAGCTCTTGGACCTACTAATTGTATGTATTTCAACAAGGGATTTCATTTTAAATGACACTTCTTATAAGAAATTACCAGAGGAGATAGAATAGAATAGATAGATGTGTGGACAAATAAATGCATGTCTGTTCTATCTGTCATTATAAATACCCAGTTACTGTGATTTTGAGGCTATCTACAAAAAGAGATCATTCTGGGAGCAGTGGTTAAATAGTTTCCTTCAGCTCACTCATTTGCAAATCATGGCATTTTTGGTTGTGCTCCCATGTCCACATGCATGTATAGTACTACACACGCATCACTGAATTTACAATGAATGTTCTGCTCCTGAAACAGGATCCCTGAAGGGATGTCTTGATGAAGGCAGCATGACTGAAGAATGATTTTGTAATGTGGTTGATTTGAGGCCAGTTATAAGGATTTTATTTGCTCTGTGAGTATATGTCTACACAGGGGCTTGTGTATGTCAGTAACTCTTGTGTTAAGGAGTTCCATGGGGTGTGTGACTTTACTCCCTTCTACCTTTCAATATCTTCCTCCTCTTCATCTCTAATATTACAAGGGTTTGAAATATGGGCCAGTCAAGGTTGTTTCAGAGTAGGACATGGGGGTGGGGGTGGGGGTGGAGAAGGTGTGCTGTCTTTTTTTCTATGATGATCTCCATGTTGTTTGGATTTTTTTTTTCATTCAGAATTATTCGTATGGCTAAAATAGGTCTTACAGCAGTTGCTTTTGTGAATCTGATTTCTTTAAAAAGCTTTAAGATATTTATTGAAAGTGCCATATATAATTTTTTTTAGCTTTCTCTGTTACTCAATGTCAGTCATCTCAACCTTCTCATACAGAAGGATAAATTAAAACACGTAAAAAAAAATGTAGCTTCTTTTTACTGCAGGGAATTGTTAGATTACAGGTCCTTGTCATCACACACTGAACAAATAAGGCCCTTGGGTGTTCTGTGGCTTTAAAGTTTTATGCAGGTGGCTTTCAGCTCTCTTTTCATAAGTGGGTTTCAGCAGAATCCATGAGCATGGTTTAGGTGATAGCATTTGACAGTGGCTGAATCAGAAGGGCAGTTCCCTAAAGGTAACGTAGTAGAGCCTCCCTCTGGTGCCAAGTCTCCTTGGTAAACAGTCCCTGCTGACCATACTGAGGAAGGTTGGTTTCAGCAATTGTTAAAAAAAAAAACAGAGCCTTTGAGAGACGGCAGTTGGAACACTCCTGATGTTGGATGAAGTGGTCTTCAATCCTGTACTTCTCTGACTTGTTCTTCTGCCCGTCTTGGTTGTACTGTCAAAAATTCAAATCTGACATTGCCACATTATTTGGCCAGTGGTACAGAAGTCACTCTTTGCAATAATGACATTGGTTCAGATTTGACAATTAGTATGGTGCAAAGATAATATTGGATTACCTCCCAATGCTTCCTGGAGTTGGAGCACCGGGAAATCGTATCTGGGTGCTTTGTCCTTCTAAGCGTCTTCTTCTGTTTTGTAGCAAGTTGCTACCGTATGGCCCAGAGCACCTATCTGCATTTCCTCCATGAAAGACTGACTATATGAGGGTAGGGGAATTCCTTCTCTCTTTCTTCCATTGCCTTTCTCATAAAGAATTTTCCTGACAAAGTATGCCTCCCTCCATTGAAGTGGGAAGTGATAGGGTGCAGAATGAAGCATACATTCTCAAACTTGGCCAGTTATTGATTTGTTTGACTTGAATGGACTTAGTCTTTACAAGGAGGGTTATTTTTTTAAAAAAGCATCCATAAAACATATTATTAGAGGAGTTTACCTAACTCCTAATTTTAAAGAACCCAAACCAGTCTTGATGTTTTCATGCACTGACCTAGACATCCCTGAGGACTGTCCTGGCCTTCCTTTTCCTTTGGGAGAGGTTAAGTGAGGTGCATGGGATAAATTAAGGGGACAGGAGAACTCTGTGGTTCCAGAATAAACATTTCCAGACCAGAGTTCCTCATATGATATCAGCTTCTTCTTATGAAGTTGGAACTTTGGGGGTAAATTCTGGCCTGGGAAGCTCCTATTCAGGATGGCCTTTCTGATGTGCCCACCCTCAGTTTTATAGCACTAATGATTATATGGCAGGAGTATCCTAGAGCTCAGAAGTCCCAGTTGAACACCCTGCCTCTTTGTGGTTTACGGTGTAGGGACCCAGTGGAAATAGCAAAATCCTGAATTGGGGGGTGAGGTGGGGGACAAAAGCTAAGATACCGTAGAGCATCACGTCTCGAGGCAAGGCAATGCTAAGGGAAGCTTCTGTCTCGAATGGTCATTTCTCATCAGTGGCACTCAGTGTGCTATATCCCAGATCCTAGGGAGGCCAAGAAAGTTGCCGGGAGTTAGCAGTCTTGGTGGATAAGTGTTCAACTAACTCCTTAAAAAAGGACTCTGAATTGTTATCACCATCAATAGCAGACATTAGGCAAGTGCACACTAGTATTAATATGGGTTCAGGTACTGTTGCCAGACGTGTAAAGCCGAGGCCAGTGTGAAGAAGACTTGCCTCAAGACGGTGGTACAGAGAGGAGTCCAGTATGGGTACAGTCTTGGCTCATCAGGCCTTCCTCTTTGTTTTACTGTGATGTCAGCTTTATATATCTACCCAGGGTCCTCAGTTTCTCTGTTCCTTAGTGGCATTCCCAGGCTGAACTTGTGTGGCCTATTGCACTAAGCCCCCAACTCTTTTTCATCAGGAATAAATCTATAACAGCTCTGCAGCTCAAATAAAAAAATGCCCATCTCCTCTCCCATGACCACACATTGATAGAAGAACCTAGTTCTGTGTCATTACTCAATGAGGGGAGTGGCCAGTGCTGACCAGGGCTAGAAGACCACGTCATTCCCAAACTTTTTAAAATAATGCACAGGTCTTCCACCTCTCTGAGCATTCTGGTAATTTCTTCCATCAACCTACTGAATTAGATCAAACAGATTGGTTAACCAACTAAAAGAATTACTCATTGTGCCATGGCTTCTTTTTTTTTCCTGGTCACCAGGGTCCCACTGGAGCAGATGTTTTCTATAATAATAATGAACCATGACCACAGGAATAACAACCATACTTGTTTTATTTTGGGGAGCTTCCTTTGCTGAGTGCCTAGCACATAGAGGGTTCCATTCAGAGAGCATTTTTCATAACCTCTCATCCAATGAGAGTGAAATTGTTTTGTCCCAAGAAGTATAAATGGGTAATGGAACTAGCCCGCAAATAGTGAGACCCGTTTTGTTCTCTGTTCTTCTTGATAATGTTGTTTTGTTATTGTTGTTTTGTTTTTGGTTTTTCATTATGGGATTTGAGTGTTGCTAGCACTTACTGGTAAAGCATAAATTTGCAACTGAAAATTTTTTGTTAATGTCCTATTGGTGTACCTATCTAGGTTTTTAGTCTTGGAAATGAAAAGCAAATAACCAACCTCTCGTTTTAACTAGTTAATTTATAATATAATATGGGCCCAAAAGTGTTTTTTAAAAGGGTCCATAAAAATAAACCTAGTTTAAATATCTGCTTTTTAAGCATGATGGGTAAATTTTCATAAGGACTGGTATTTGGAAAGAAAGAAGAGACAGGTTACATTTT